GATCTCGCGCTGCACCGCAAAGCATTGGCAATAGATATCGCGGCAGAAGACAACCTAGTCGCAGGCTGTAATAGACCGATTGCGGCCAATACCGACTTTGTGAGTCAACTGCCTTGCGCGACAAGTCTGGAGCCCCAGCTAAGTCAGTGTCGTTAGTCCGAGCAAGGCAAACGGACCAACGTCAGCGGCCTGAAGACATGTACGTCGGAAAGGGATTCTCGCGTAAATATGACGGCGAGCTCACCGCAAGGTCGCCAGATGCTACCGGTCCCGCCCTAAAACGACCAAGAGCGAAGCAATTAACAGCCAAAACGAATGACTACAGCCGTGAACGAAATCAAGTCCGTAGTAAAACTAGAGCTATGATATAACCGTGCAGATAGCCACCTATACCTTATCCCGATCCATAGCCCGCTCGATGTAGTCAGTGCGTACTTCAAGTATCGGGAGTATTTAAACCACTATAGTGCACGTCACGAGCCTACCAGTTCGGTTTACCTTTCTATATAAGTCGGGCCGTCCTTATACCTTTGTCTCCAACTCCTGTGAGTCAGACTCACTCGTACTCACAACATTTTCGTTGTCACGGACGGCCTTGCCACAAGGTTAATGCCATGCTGTCAGCTCGCTAAGACCAGGCTTTGTAGTCTCGCCTACAAAACACAGACGACGCCACACGTTACAACCACTGCTCCAAGATTCTACTGAGATCACAATACCTACGAAGGGGGGATCTCGCCGTAATAATGAATACCTAGAATCTACCTTGGTATGACACTGCTCTCAGCCCTCGTGGCTGTTCATGTTCAAAACTGAGCCACGCACGCCAACGCTAGCTCAACGCGTCGGTGGATACTTAACCGGTCTTCGACCCGGCTTGTGCTGTTAAGCGACTCAATCGGAAAAATCCTGGCTGAGGACCGAACCGGGTGTCTATGGATAAACCGGCTAATCGGGCCAGACGACTACCGGTACGCAATACTCGGGCCGACAACGATCACGGCGGCTGTGAGAGGGGTGGTCCAAACTTCCCCGTCTCTGGGGGAGAGGGTCGAGACTTCGAATGGCCCATGTCGACTGGTGATTATCCTCGGCACGCTATACGTGTTGCAGGAGGGGTCTTTTTCAAGCTTGTGCGTCAAGGTGTTAGAAAATTGAAACCGAGTCAGCGTTCCGTTCTGCTCTTGTCGCATTGTTTTTCGAGTCTCTTGGGCGGGCCGCGGAGCGGGTCTCAGGGCTCTACAATGTCACTCTCGACGAACGTGTTTAGGAGCTAGCAGTCAATGTAAAAGTGAAACAACGAAGGATCACGCAGACAAGAACACGGTTCGCTGCATTTACCACCGTCGTGTCGCTGTCCCGTAAACCAGCTATGCCTTGCAATAGCTTTGGTCGTCAACACGCTACCCTACAGAATTGGACTCGCATCGTGCCACCCTTTATTCATACAAACAGAGTTCATGTGAGGCCCTCCGCGCTAGTTGAACATCCAGGACGTGTCGACCATGGAAAAATCCACAAACATATTGTCACTCGTCGTGGGAGCCCGGGCGGAAGAACCCAGACCGTAAGACACGTCGTGCATGAGTGCTTCGACCGAGCCGCGGTCTTTGTTCTCGGTGGAAGATGTAAAAATTGCCGACGGCGACGTCGCTTCGCCGTTGGAGAAGCGCCGGGCGCGGAGTATCGTGTGGAGATGTGTGCCTTCGATCAGGCGGGCGAACGTCCTCAGGATGGGCGCGGCCAAGGGATAGTAGGGCTGCGACTCTTCTAGCGTTTTCCACAAGAATTTGAGCCAGTAGATGTTGGTGTCGCTGTCGTTGCCTCCGTTCCTCCGACCCCCGTCTCCCGGGTGAGGGCTAGACGGGGACGGGGACGGTGACGACAGAATATGCGATATCAGCGCCGTCGTCGCCCAAGACGTGTTGATCAACATGACCGTGACGAGCTTCTCGACGCCGTAGATCAGCTTGTAGGTCCGCGTCAGCCTCGCCACGCGAATGGCGTTCTGGTATATGATCCGCGCCGACTGGTTCACGCATTGCTGCTGCTCGGTTCCGACCACCCCAGAAGGCCCTGCTGCCGCGTGCGAACGACCTCCTTCTGTGGTCTCCAGTAACCTGTTCCACAGGCGGTGCAGAATGATTCGGACTCCACAGAACTGCAGATTCAATCCGTAAGAGTGCGGGTTCAGGTCGTTGTGACTCAAGTCGTCGCACTTCAGCTGTGGAGGGAGGCTTTCATAACAGGCGTCGATTTCTGCGGCCAGTTTGGGGAAGAGGTGTAATTGATTCGTCACGTCGGCGGAAGTGGCGGTGTTCAAGACGTCGGTGATGCGTGAAACCTGCACACTCAGGAGGCTCCACGCTTGGAGGATCTCCGGGATCGAGGTGTTTTTGGCGCCTTGAAGGGCACTGCGCAACTGCGCCAGGGTCATCGAGTGCGGCCGACCGAAATACAGGCTCAGGTTCTGGTCGAAGACGAAGGTCGAAAGGAACGAAGCGATGCGGTGGGAGGCGTCGACGACATCGCCCTCGTCGTTGAGGGTGTTGGATTTTTTATGCAGTAATCCCAGGTCGAAGACCAATCGACAAGCCATGCCTACAGGATTAGTATGAGTTTGGATCGGTGGCCGTGGGGAATAAAATACCGCAGTATATCCAGGATAGCCTATCGTTGCCGGTGATGCCCACACACTCGCTGAGCAGAGTCAGACCCTGCATCGAGGCTATGTTTGGGTTTTCGATCTCCTGGAGGACTTGTGCCCGTGCGCGTTCGAGAAACTGTGCCCCCAGTTGTCGAATGAAGCTGGACGTGCTTACCCGGCTCGCGGAGCTGAGTATGGCGTCTTCTAGGAACGTCGAATAATAATGGCTGCGTTTGCCAATCGACCGATGCGTCATGAACGGCTCTTTTTCTACGACCAGGATTCCACAAGGGTGCACATCCCAGAACGTCTGGAGGAGTGCCGTTCGAAGAGGCGCGGAATCGATTCCCAGGGAGGTTTCTTCTTCGTTATCGTCGCCCACTACACTCGCTGAGTCGTCGAAGTCGGCAAGGAGTGAGGTTTGCGGCAGCTGATAGGACTGTTGCGTTTCAAAATCCGAAGTCTGTGGTTCCCCTGTTCGGGGTGGTGCCATGTTGTGAAAGTGAGGCTGTTGTATGCCCAACTGTCTGATGGCATCGTCGGCTGGCGAAAAGACGTTGTTGTCCAACTGACAGCCTGGTTGACCCAAGGTGGTCATCGATCGTTCCGTGCTGTCGAGCAGCATATCGAACATGTTCTGGCACTCTCCAGCTAGACTGGAAAAGTCGGGAGGTTGTGGGGTTGGGAGTCTATGCGACCATGTTAATTAAGAGTGTAAGACGACGACACAAGCATCCCTAACTCACTGTCCATCGAGTATCTGGACAGAATGGTCTTCCAACAGAGAGCCTCCTGCCAGCTCGGCCGACATGAGACCAGTGTCTGGTGGTGGCGCGGGGTTGGCGGTGACCAAGGGAGGCGATGTGCCGCTCGGAGCAGGGTGTCTTGCATCTTGGTAGCGGGATGATTGAGGACGCTGCTCGACTCTTTCGGATTCTGCGTTTCGTGCCCCATGAAGTCCCAACAGGTCTTCCAGTTCTGCGAGGCGACTGTGTACCGAGGACAAATTTTGGCCAACACCGCGGCGCCTCGAAACACCTGGTAAGCGCGCACCGACCTGACAAGATGGCCGATTGACTTACTTCCTGCGGTCACCACCGGAATCAGTGTAACACGGGGCATTTGTATTTCGACATTGGGTGCAGTCTGACCCCGGCGGCTGGTTTTGGACATCGCACTACATGATGGTGTGTCAAGGGCTGCGCTCAGTGCGCCGGAGACGGGTTTCCACGCACTTTGATCTTACGTAACCTGCAGTTGATGCATGCGACGGATGCGCGAGTGCGCGCAGGAGCTCTTGTGCCCGCCGATTGCGACGGCTTCGACACCTTGGACGACATGATGTTGGCTTTCGTAGACGCAGCTTTTGAAAAAGATGGTGTGGACTTCCTTTGTGCCGCCGGGCTCGTGTCTGTGTCTGGAAAGAAAGTGGAAAAAGATTGAAAAATAGGGCCCGGCCCAGGTCGGAGTAAAATCAGGGGCCCCGCAAAGTCTTTGGGCAGAGCGTCAATCAAGGGCTCCCCGCGGGAATTCTTTTCTAGCCAGATGCGGCAAGGCCGGATCTTGGTGTGGGGGTGCTGTCTTGAAGGTAATTGGTGTTAGCTGGCTCAAAGGACCCACTATACTGTGTACACAGCGCACCTTGAATGTTGAATGGGTCACAAGACTGAGTTCGGCGAACTACGATCAGCATTGACTACACCTCTATTAGGATATAGCTTTCAAAAGTGCCATTTCTTCGTCCAGGAATTCATTCGTACTCGTATGGGCGCAGGTGTGGAAGTGTGCGGTCTTGGGAAGAGACCGTTGGCCTGGGTCGTTCGGCGAAGCTAGCGCGGAAGAGGATTCGACAGATAGAGTGGAGGGGAGGCTAGCTTTGTGGTGTGCAGCGTAGATAACTCTAGCTGTCCCAAGTTCGGCTCATTGTGAAGGAACTGATCTCACTGAACCCTACTGGTTCAGTTATGCAGGCACAATCTCGCTCCCACCCCTGCCTCTCGACCTGTCTGTAATACAAGAGTAAAATAGGTGAACTATAGCAAATAATATGTCTATTACCATAGCCTGGAAAGACTGGTTAGCTAGCTAGGACTCTCGCGTAGGCATCCTCTCTCGTGTATCTAGGCCCCCGACGTTACAACCGACCAAAAGTGGCTGCACACAGTAGCATCGATCTGTTCGGGTAACCGGGCCGAAGGTGGCGGTCCAGCCTGACGACGATTCCGGCAGCCTTGCGTGCCTAGTCAGCAGCCAAATCTTTGTACTTGCAGCATTAAACCCAGTAGTTCCCAACCATGAAAATTGCAAGGGAGCCTCGTCGGTGTCGATCTGTGATCATTCGTGGATGGGAGAGATGTCCGTGCCAGCAAACCACAAACCGCGACAGCTGTGGCGTCCCCGGAAGGGCGTAGATACCCAGACTGATCGCTTCCGTCGCTTTGTCAATCAACGACGAGGCTTAAATCTTCAAAACTACCACCAACTCCACAAGTACTCATGTGATGACGATACCGCACCGCAATTCTGGGTCGACTTGATCCATTTTGTCGAGCTCAAAGCGGAGGGCAATCTGGACTACGCGATTCCTGCTGTACGCCCCCGCCCTTTTTCAGCCACGACGAAGCCAATGCTAACAAAAGCTCAAGGGCCGCATACCCTTGTTCCCACCACCAGAATTCTTCCCTGGCGTGAAATTGAGCTTCCCGGAAAATCTGCTCAGCGGGAGGCCGCCGAACGAGATTGCAGTGCATGTGGTGCAAGAGGGCGGAACCAGGATCAAGGACTACACATGGGTCGAATTGTATTCCATGGTGGAGCGTGCAGCAGACGCACTGATCTCGCTGGGTGTGAAGAAACATGACCGCGTGGCAGCCGTCCTGTCGAACCGGCTTGAGACGGTCGTGTTGTGCCTGGCCACCCTCTCAATGGGAGCCATCTGGTCGTCCTCCTCCCCTGACATGGGCGAATCTGGAATTCTAGATCGCTTGACCCAGATCAAGCCGAGGATCGTCTTCGGAGAAGCGTCCGTCGTCTTCAAAGGCAAAGCAATGGACTTGGCGGCAAAGAATGCAGCCATTGTGCGAGGCCTCGAGGGGTTTTCCGAGTTCAAGACCTTGGTCGTCCTCCCTCCTCAGGGCCACGAAGGCAGCCCAAAGAAGCAGCACAACAACAGTGGCCGTCAAGTTCTTAGCTATGAAGACTTTCTCAAGCATAGTATAGGAAGACCGCTAAAATTCACCCGACTGCCCTTCTCCCACCCTGGATTTATCGTCTACTCTTCAGGCACTGTTAGTATCCCTTCCACGCACGAGTGTACGCCTCCTCTAACTAAGGGTGCCAGTCGGGTGCGCCAAAGTGCATAGTTCACAGTGCTGCGGTATCTAGCCTCTCTTTTCCGTTGGATTCAACCGTCTGACAGTGCACAGGGGCTCCTCCTCTCGGTCAAAAAGGACGCTTTCCTTGCCTTCGACGTACAGCCTGGCGACGTGGTGTTGCAGTACACAACGGCATGTGCTTAGCTCCTATTTGTGGAAGTATTTCAGCCCTACTAACAAAAACACGCAGACAGGATGGATCATGTGGGCCATGGTTCTTTGCGGACTGTCTTACGGAGGCAGGACGGTGATATATGATGGCTCGCCACTTTACCCAGACAACTTGGTGCTTCTCCGACTGGTTGAAAAGTTGAGGTTGGTTGTCAATTTGGTCGGTAGACGGCAACGCAACTGACGTGTACTCAGAATCAGCTTGCTGGGAATCTCGCCCCGGCTGCTCCTCGAGATCAAGAAGGCAGGCCTGGTCCCCCGTAGGTGTTCCTACCCATCAGAAATCGTCCATAGCATCCGTCAGTTTGCTAGAGACACTAACACTTCGCAGGAGATATTTTGGACCTGTCCTCACTCCGCACCGTTACTTCAACGGGGAGCATCTTGAACGAGGAACTCTGCGAATGGTTCTATGATGTCGGGTTTCCAAAGGGCGTGCATCTGCTCTCTACCTGTGGTGGAACGGATCTTGCCTGTTCACGTAAGACCCGACACCCCGTAAGAAGCCTGTCTGCATGACTAAGCTGGTATAGTGGTTAGTGGCAACCCGACTCTACCCATGCATGCCGGGGAGATTCAGTGCAAGTGTCTCGGGATGGCGGTCGATGTTGCTCAATCCGACACAGCACAATTCGAGTCCATCGAGAGCACTGGAGCTGCAGGACAACTCGTTACCACGAGACCGTACCCGAGCGAGCCTCTTAAATTTTGGGGCCCTGGGGGACAGGAGAAGTACTACAGCTCCTACTTTGAGCAATTGGGACCGTACGTGTGGTGGCAGGGTGACTTCATTCGACGATCGCCGGAGACTGGAGGTTATGTGGTGCTCGGTCGATCGTAGGCGATCCTTTTCTCCCCAATATCTGATTGTCCAAGCTGACCGTGAGCAGTGACGGCGTTCTGAACCCATCTGGGGTGAGATTTGGCTCGGCCGAGATCTACGAGGTGCTGGATAAGATTCCTGGCATAGTCGAGTCAATCTGCGTCGGCCAGCGACGACCAACTGACCAGGATGAAGCTGTCGTCCTCTTCCTGGTCCTGGAGCCAGGAAAGACGTTGACCAGCGAGTTCGAGCACCTCATCAAAGACTCGATCAAGCGAGAAAGATCTCCGCGACATGTTCCCAAGTATGTCTTTCCGGTCTCGACGGTTCCGTACACGATCAACGGCAAGAAGATCGAGATCGCAGTCAAGAAGATCATCAGCGGCGAGAACATTGTGCCTTCGGGTGCGGTGGCCAATCCAGAATCCTTTGCCGAGTTCAGGAAATTTGTCAATGTTGAAAAGATGTACCAGGAGCAGTGCCGAGAGCGTCAACAAAAGGCCAAGCTATAGAGGTCGACGAATATATTACGGTGCTACTAAATCTGGTCTTGGAGCCAGTCCCCTTCGGTGAGAAAGATACCAAAACAGAATACATCTCTGATTTACTTATTCGAGTTGGCCATTTTCCGTCGTGACCCTGTGATGGTAGTGAACTAGAAGTCTAGAGAATACTTGTCAACGTAATCGATGTCTGGCCTCCTCTTCTTCCACGCCACTTGCCGTTAATCAACCATACTTGGTTGAAGAAGATATCTCTCTGTTCAAGTGTCTACTAGTCGTCAAAGATTCCAAAAAAGCCACTCGGGATGGCGAATAGCATAAGAGTACTCATGTGGACTATGTTGGAGTGCGTCTCAAGTAACCAGTGCGTGATTCGAGGTAAGAGACCTCAGGTGCTCATCAAATGATCCACAGATACAGGAAAAGGGCAACCCCCCATCTGAGACAAAAGGCCGCCTGGCGCAATAGCCAGACAGTGGAGCAGAACGAATGGCTCAGGACCTGTCATCGGCTATACGGTGGCTGTTGCATGGGGACGCAAGATCCATGGCTAAGGGTCTCACGGATTTCCTGCGTGATATTCCAACTCGGTTATTCGTTCCCGAAGCCAGTGTCATTACCATGACAGGTTTTGACTGTATGCAACATTTGTGCATTCACTTACCCGGCTCACTCAATGTCTAGTGGCTGATGATGGGGCATAGAAGCCGTAGAAATATGCATTGATAGCAATGGGGGATATAGCTCGACCCGCTGGAACGTTTTAGCTTACGCCCGCCACCCGGCCAATATACGAAGCACCTCGCAAAAGTCACATACAAAGAACGGTGCAGCCAGAGACACGGAAGTCTGGCGAGCTACACACACAATGGCAGCTGCGAATGGACATGCCGAGACTGTCAGCGAACACCTCCAAGGTGACGCGGGCTTTGTGGATGGCGATCTGTACGCCCAGTTGAACGGCATCGACAACACCAACATCTTGAAGGGACAACACAAAGTCTCCAGGGGCCATAGGAGAGTGATCCAAGTGGGCACCGGTGTCGCCGGCATCGCCCAAGCGGCCACTCTTCTGAAAAACAAGACGCTCAGGCCCGAAGAGTTGATCATCTTTGACGTTTTGAAGGAGTTTGGAGGCGTCTGGGCAAAGAACACATATCCCGGATGTGCCTGTGATGTGCCGGCGCTGATGTACACCAACAGAATGATGATCTCGACTCGTAAGTTGAAAAAGGGGATTTTGGGGGACAGTTTTTGAAAAAAAAAGAGCAGCGTTGACCCCTAGGCTTTTTCCAGAATATACACACGTCTTCGCGACGGGCCCTCAGATAAAGAACTTCTATGTCCAAATGGCACACCGTTACGGACTGGAGAGGTGCACACAGTTCCAAACGTACGTCAGGTCTTGCACGTGGGACGAAAGCAACTTTCTCTGGCACGTCGAGACGGAGAATCAAGCCACGGGAAACATCGAGCTGTGGACCGCCGACGTCGTCATCCACGCCATTGGATCCTTTGACAGGCCCAAGTTTGGCGGTATTCCGGGACTGGACAGTTTCAAGGGCCAATGGACGCACACAGGGACCTGGAAAAAGGACTTCGACTGGGTTGGGAAAAGGGTGGCCGTCGTTGGCTGTGGCCCAAGTGCCGCCCAGGTCATCCCAGAGATTGTGGACCAGTGCAAACACCTCACCGTGTACATGCGTACGCCGCCGGCCGTGCTGCCCAGGGGCGACGCCAAACACTCCAGGTATGGCAGAGGTCTGTGTTTTCCTGTTTCTTAAACTGACACAGGGCGCAGCGTCTTCATGTGGTGCTTGAAGTATCTGCCTTATTTTGCCGTCTACATGCGCTTCCTCGAGATTGTCAAAGGGTGGCTGTTCGGCCCCCTGATCATCAAACGAGGCAGTTGGCTGAACAAGCTCCTCGACAAGAAGGCCAGGGAGTATCTCGAAAAGCAGATCTCAGACCCGGAGCTCCGAGAGAAACTGAACCGCGAATATGAATGTCAGTAATATTAATGCCCAGTTTTCCCCCTCCTATCAATGGAGCACCGCCCCCCCCCCCCCCCTCCCAGCTTTTGGTGGCCGCTAATTCTCTTGAACAGTCTTCTGCAATCGTCCCCTCCTCCTGGACAACTTCTACCCAGCCTTGGCCAAACCCAACTGCACCGTGTTAAGAGAGCAAGTCACCCGGTATACGGAGACGGGGATCGAAGCGCGCGATCTGAAGACGGGCGAGAAGTCGTTCCACGAGTTCGACAGCATCATCGTCGGCACGGGCTACAACACGTCCCGATTCCTGTCCCACGAGAAGATCACGGGCATGGACGGGACGGATCTCCAGCAGCACTGGAAGCAATACTGCTCGACACTCCACGCCGTCGCGACCTACGACTTCCCCAACTTCTTCTTCTGCAACGGGCCCAACGCCAACACCTTCAGCTCCAGCTACCACGACGTCAACGAGTCGACCTCGCGCTTCATCGCCAAGTGCGTGGCGACCATCGTCGGGAAGAAGGACCGCGGCATCAAGTTCGCCATGATGCCCAAGCCCGAGCGTGAACGCGAGTACCAGGACATGATCCAGCGGAGCCTCAGCGACACCACGATCCAGTACCGTGGCTGTGCCAACCACAGCATGAAGGACAGTAACAACCACAACACGGCGCTGACAGGCGAGCACGTCTTGGCCATTGCGTGGAAGTTCCGCAAGATCAACTGGAAGGAGTGGGACACCATCGAGAAGCCAAAGACCGAGATTTGAAGGGGAGGCATGGCATTTCCCTTCCCATTTTCCCTTCGAGAGTCTACAAACAAAATTCATATGAAATTTGCGAGATTATCTTTTACCCTCCGCCTCATCTTCTCTCGCAGACAGGATGGGCTCCATATCTCAAAGCGAAGTAAAAAAAAAAAAAAAGACACATGGTATATAGTGAAGGCCAAATTTTCAACAAGAGAAACAGCATAGTTCGACGTCGGAATCTAGACACGAAGGACTTTCCATTTCCATCTTTGGATCTGAGCACGAATTACCGGCGAGTATACAACTAAAATGTAATGACATTTAACTATAAAAGCGAAGCCAGTACTGTAACCTTTCCCATCTCTCCAAGAGAGATGATTACGCATAGTAGTGCATATGTAACTTAGAGGTGTTACAATGCATATTGGCGGCGAAAGGTTCTCACGAGGAACTGCTGGGATGGATCTGTCCTCCGTGCGCTCGGGCCCGTTGCGCGGCGGACGAAAAGCCCTTGGCGAACACTCTCTTCTGCTTCTGGGCGTTTTGGATTCCAACTCAAATTTGCTACCAAACGTTGTTACTTTCTTCAATGCTGAGAGGCTCTTATACTTATTCCCATGGGAATTCATGATGATGTGAACGGATTAAAAATTCGTTCCCAAGAGCCAAGGGCACTATCTTATGCGGGCTGCAGAATCCTCCCCCCCCCAAAAATGAGGGAATGCCTCCCGTGCATCATAACAACTCCCTGATCCTCCTTACCGTACACGGCCGACCCTTTGAAAGGAGAGTACATCATGACAAGCTGGAAGGATCATTTTCTTCATGTATGCTAACCAGATAGGAACGCCAACACCAATCCTGCTGGGGCGTGACGATCGTCGACGGGTGTGGAACTGTGATGCGTTGTTGGTGAACAAGCATGGCTCGACCCGGACAGGATAGGTAGTGAAAAGGGTCATTCCAAGGTCTGAATGTCATGGCAATGTCAACTCATGGCTGACTCTCGACGAATGGTTACTCAACATACTATGCGTCTGCGGGCCTTGCAAGCCCCTCGTTCCTCCTAATCAGCCTCCACAAGATGATGATCGACGGCGGTAGGGTGACGATGACCCCCACAATGGCTACGATAGCCTCGACTGAGATGCGGGACATTGTTGCTCTTTGGTTGTGTCGTTTGATCAGGAAGAGGATTTGACGTGAGAGATTTGGTGATGGGCTGAAGAGTTTTCGAAGACGAGGACGTGCTGCTCGAAGGTCCAAGTTGATATAGCCATGAAGGCAATGATCCAGCCAGATTTTGGCAATCCGTACTGGCACGACCTTTTCACTGCGCCCGCCAGACCCAAAGCGGGATCCAGCGCCCATTCGACGCTCTTGGCCCCGTTCTGAGCCTCGCTCCCAAAATCTGGGAGCTCCTGGTTCGTCAGCGTTTCTCACGTCCCTGGCAGATGGCTAGGCGGGTCTGTTTTGGTGCTGGCAGGCAAGATATTGGTACCGGCGAAGGAGACGAAAGGAGCGACGAACCCAGAATCTTGATTGGCATTAGATGTTCAGGCTATCGAACCCTCCCACTGCGTCAGCACCTCAGATTTTGGCTTCTGGCCCACATGCCAGATTTTGGTCCTGTCAGCCTTGCATGCACCAAAAGCTGGCGAGGACGCAATTCCCTGCTTTCTCCCGGGCAGGCTGATCGTCAGTTGCGTGGCATCATAGGAGTATCTCTCTCCCTCGTTGACATGAAGTGGAACGTTGTTCTCAACAAGATCTGTTGATCCCAGTTCTCAACCCAGGAGAATCCTTCCTCAAATGTCACCTATCTCCAGTTGTAGCATTGCTGAATCCACATCCATCTCATCTCCAAATTGCAAAGCCTCAGAATTCTCGACATCCGTCGCAATCAAGTCCGAGAGCGCATTCAGCTGTTGAGCATGGTTTGCTTCCAGAAGGCGTCGAACAGCTATATGGCCGTTGGATGACGCAAGTTGCCGAGCCCGCTCATATTGTCGGCTTCCTGGGCCTACAACCTGCGCTCCCCCATTCAGAAGAAGTTGCACCATATCGATCCGACCATCCTCAGACGCCCCCTCGAGGGCTGTTTTCCCATCGACCTTTGCAGGTAAAGCGTCGATCTCGGCTCCCTTGTTGAGCAGCAGACAGGCAATGCCGAGATACCCCTTGTAAGCTGCCAATTGAAGCGCGGTTGCTCCGGACTGATCGCATGGGGGTGAATTCACATCTGCGCCTTTCTGCAGTAGATATTCAACCATATCCAAACATCCCTGCTCGGCAGCCAGCTGCAAAGGTGTTCGTGAGAGGCTCCCAATTGCCTTCGTATTCACCTCGGCTCCTGCGATTACTAGCATTTCGGCCAGTTTGAAACTCTTCCGCCGAATGGCCTGCAGCAGAGCGGTACCATTGGGTTGGTCACTTATTCTTTTGTTGGGATCCACGCCCCCATTCAAGAGCTTGCGAACCATCCATAGATCCATGCTCTTGTCAAGCCTGATTGCAGTTCCAAATGCAGATTCGTGGTACACTGCCCCTTCTCGTGCAAGATAAGAATAGCATTCCTGTCTGCGCTGAGGTCTTACGATTGTGCTTGGATTTATACCATTTGATAATAGTAATTCAACCATGGCAGCGTCCGCCAATTTGATAGCTTTCTGCAGTGCCCGGCAACCAAACCCACACGAATAGTAGTGGAATCGCTGGAACTTGGCTGTCAGAAGCAGTTGCATAAGAGCTGGACCCCCCGAGACGGCGGCAATCAAGGACCATTCATCGGGATCCGCGCCTAACCTCAGGAGATAGTGAACGGTGTCGACATCTTTGTTGCGAATAGCAGCCGCAAGAGCCGTTTGTCCGAAATGACGACCGGCGGGAGTGTTGACATCGGCGCCTGCATCAATTAAGATTCGAACGCTCGTCAGATCACGCTTCTCAACTGCCACAGTAAGTGCTGGCCTCTCTTCGCCTGGTTCTGGCGCGTCAACATCAGCTCCGGTCTCGATTATCTCTTGGATTAAGGGATGGTACCCCAATGACACTGCTGCTGGTAGCACGGAAGCAACATAACCTCGAAACCGGGAGCATCCGCAATGTTCAAAAGCTGTCATGTTTACTTCTGCCCCAGCGGCCAACAGCCGTCGTGACAGATCAATAGCTCCTCGACGTATTGATTCCAAGAGAGGACTGGCGCTTGTTTTGGAATGCTGGGCGTTAACATCTGCACCGGCCGCAAGAAGCATTTCGATGACGTCGTCCCGACCCTGAGCTATCGCGCAGAGTAGAGACGTCCCAAGACAATGTACTGCGATAGGCTGGAAGGCTGAATTGTCGCTGAGAAGTAAGCGAAGCACTACGATGTCTCCCCTTCCAGCAGCGGCTTCAATCGCTGCAGTTAAAGCTGATGTATTTGCAAGCTGAACCCCACAGGCAGAAAAGGCGTTGATCAGATCATAATTTCCACTGCGTATAGCTGCAACGAACGCCCGACCGCGGCTGCTTTCTCTTGTGTTATTGTCTGCAAAGTCCCACAGAGACCAAAAAACCTTAGACTCGGTTGTGCCTGCTGCCTCCTCAATCACTTTAGTTGTGATTCGAGCTTTGGTACTGAGGAGCTTGATGATCTGCAATTTGCCTGTCCCGACAGCAGAAAGCAAATTTTCTTCGGTGCATGGCGCATCGGCCTCTAGCAATAGTTGAATCAAATCGACACTGGAACGGTCCAACGCAAATCCCAGTAGGTTGAGCCGTCCCTTGTCGTCATATTGAGTTGTGACATGCACATTTGCGCCAGCTCGAAGCAGATGGCGAACAACAGTGATCACGTCGGAGACAGGGGCTTCTCTGTTGCCTACTGCTTGGAAGAGTGGAGTAGAGCCAGTATCAGAAGAGGCGAAATTTGGATCGGCGCCAGCAGAAAGAAGGATTTCGACCAGTTGTGGAAGACAACTTCTTGCAGCCTCAAACAGTGGGGATTCATTCGAACCTGGATTGACATTTGCGTGCGCGTCGAGCAGAAGTTGTACCAGACCGATGATCACATTCTCGAGATCTTCATCCATAAACATGATGTATTCGTTACCCAGAAATCTAATAGCATGGGTCAAAGCAGATTCAGGGTTCGGTCCCGCGCTTTGGATATCTGCCCCAGCATCTAGCAAAATCTGCACGAGGTCGAGGCTGCCTAATTCGCATGCACGTTGAAGTGGCGTGAGTGGAAGCCTAAATAGCACAGGGATTCGCGATTGATTGAGATCAAGACCAGACCGCAGTATGGCTTCGACCATCGGAGCGTCCTGCTGTTCGATTGCAAGGGAGAATATGTTTTCCCTGAGTGCTTCTATGGTCGGTCCGCCAACAGACATGAGAATTTCGAAAAGACCGGCTTGCAACCGGCGCTTAATCCAATTGTAGATCATTTTGCTAGTCTTCGAGTCCGTCTCAAACAATTTATTCGAGATCATGAACTGGGTCAGGTTCAAAAAGTTCACTGCCGCTGATGGTGGCATTGCCACATCCAGCTGGCTAGGTTGGCCACAGAGTACTTCGTCGGGTATCAGTGCCCTCAGGTTTTGACGGAATGATTTGGATTGTTCGTCTCCGTCTGCTTCGTTTTTGAAGTAGCCAACAATGCTCGATTCGAGATCTTCGAGGCTGGAAGTAGATTCTACACCGTCACCTCTGGGACTGCTTGCGTAGGGGTTTTCTGCGAGTTCAGAGTCAGCCACATTCTCTAGAGACCGGCCCAGGCGGGATACTGGCAGTGATAGGAGAATAGGTTTCGCGAAAGGGTTCCATCAGGCCACCAGTGCTTCCTCGACCATAGGGCTGACCTACCTTCAAGATTGATTCTGCCATTGAAATGTGCGAAAGGAAGAGAGCTCGTCAGGAAAGATACGTAAGTTGTGGATATTGGTATGAAGGAAGCCGTTTTTGGTGAAGCTGAGGTTAATGCTGCAGGCGCAAGTACCGGGGTTTGGATCGTGATTCCCTCTGGTGTTCGTGGTGATGGTGCTGTTGTCACGGTGAGCGACGTCAACATGATGGAAACGGAGGACCAGATACCGTCAAAGTCCAGTACCGAAAGCGGTCGGTATCTGGTGATTGCTCTCTTGACCTTTTTGGCGTTCATAGGAAATCCATCACTGCACACTTCGCTATCCTTGTTGTCTCGTTTCCGTTTCTGGATCTTGTGTGTGACTACCTTCCATTCGTCTTTGGTCAAGTTCTTTCGAAGATCCCATTTCTTGAGGTGGGCCTCAAATTGGGCTTTGCTTTCAGGGAGTCAGGACTCTCGTCATTGGGTGAAGATGAGCCGGGACTGGATCTCACCTGGCACGAAAGTCATATTTCGAGGCCATTTCCCGCATGAGCTCCTCAAGACTGTGATCGTCAACCAGGTAGAAGGTGCGAATGGTGTCTCTGTGCGACTCCCACACCGAATCAGCCACGTCATCACAGACTCGACTAGACATCTTGCCTGCTTTCGAGAGCAATACTCTAGCTAAACGGCGCAGTCTGATGGCAAGAAATAAATGAAACTGCGGTCCTGGCGATCAGAATTGACAGAGGTGGGAAGAAGTCTTGAATTACTGTGATGCAGCACCCTCATTAAAATCTTTTGGATTTGCGCCCGACTTACGAGGGGCACGAGCAACTCTGCATTTCATGAGGCGGTCGCATGCCTCCCACGCTTCCCAAAATCTGGACAACCCCAGAAGCACTTGCATAAGTGCCCATCACCAATCCAAAATCTTGCGCCACATCATCTCTAATTCGCCGGATTTTGGACACCTTCGACTCTGTCAAGGCCCCCAAAGCAGCAGCTGCACCCAGCTGGAACAGGCTGGTGACGTGTTTAGCGGATCAGCTGTAACCGACTGGCCACGCGTGTCGGACTCCCACTAGGCGGATGCAGATTTTGGCAAGATTGACCAAGGCGTGAGCGCAGCACTAGGCCCGGCCATGGGGTCTAAAACTATTATGTAGAACCTCGTGTCCTAAAACGGCAACCGGTCAAGACCCCTGCATCCGTAGGGGAGCCGGACCGTCCCAGTGCCAAGAGCGCGTTCGCACTTGCCTCGCCATTATCCAAAGTTCTTTCCCGAATGAAAACTCGAGGCCGCAGCGAATCCTCGAGGCTTGTGTCCAATAGGTAGACACGGCGCAGAACTAAAACTAACTCGTTCTTGTGACGTTCCAAGGGCAAGGCACCACAACACCACGCTTCAGACACCGTACTCCCTCTACAACCATTGTTCCGCCTCATTAGCCCTTCTCTCAACCCGCGCCATCTCCTCTCCTCCGGATGTCATCTTCCAATCCCTCCATCCCTCCTCTGGGCCTTCCCCTTTCCCGTCTTCCCCTTCGCCTGCTCCCTCTCCCGCTGTCGTCGTAGCTTTCCAATGACCCACGTACATACAAGCGATGGTCTACCGCGTTTGCACAAGACCGTGTGGGCAATAGACTGGGTTCTATGCTATCATCTATGAGCCATTGATATTTCAGATATTCTAGATGACACTGACAAGTCTCGACTGAAAATCTACAGTACCACTCTACGCGAGGTAGCCATGCAGTACATAGTGCCTCGGTGTCAACTTCATTCGTATAGGTTAGAGGGTAGCCCTGACCTCACCAACCTGCCGACCATCGAGGACGAAACCATCCCAGTTCTCCAATGCCTTGCGACACTCCGCCTCGTACTGGGCAACCCCCCCGAGGTAGTTGAGCTGCTCTCGCTTCTTGCCGGGGATGTTCGCCCCCATGTACCACGAATCAGCCAGGGGGAACAAAGTCTTCTCGTTCATCTCTTGGATCGCGTCGCCCCATTTCTGTGCCGCGTCGGGCGTCACCTCGATCGTCCTGACGTGTTCCCTGCGCATCTTCTCGATGGCGTCGGCGACCCAGTCGCCCTGGCATTCGACAATGGTGCTCCCGTTGGCCAGGGCGGTCGGTGCTTGAGGGCTCCGGGTCAGCACAGTTGCTCGATTTCTTCTTTCCTCCGGAAGGTCATGCAACTTACCTTGAGGGCTGTACACCATAAACATGTTGGGAACACCGGGAACCATGAGGCCCAAGTGTGTCTTGACACCATTCTTCCATCGTTCCTTGAGGTCGACCCCATCCCGGTCCTTGAGACCCATATTCGTGTAACTGCCAGTGATTGCATCGTAGCCTGTGGCCATGATAATATAGGCTGCCTTGTGTACTTTACCGTCGGCAGTTTGGATACCGTCCGCGGTGATTCTCTCGATAGGATTGTCCTTGACGCTGATGAGATTCACGTTTTCTCGGTCGATGCACTCGTAGTAGTCCTGCTCTAGACTAGGTCGCTTCGTGCCGAACGGGTGTGGCTTGACCTTGGGAGCCATGATCTCCGCTTTCCGTGCATCCTTGATCCGGGCCTGAACTTTTCGTCTCCAGAAGTTGTATATCAGGTCGTTCGCCTGCTCGTTGAAAACATAGTCGCGGAAGCCACCCATGGAGAAGTTGAACCCTCCGCGCTCCCATAGTTCGTTCCAGCGCGCTTCGCGTTCCTCGTCGGTGACTTTCAACATCGATCTAGATTCGGCAGTGTGTGGGAGGCCACTCCGGCTCGCTCTGGTGGCCTTGAAGAGTAGATCATAGGCGCCCTTGTACTGGTTCTGCTCTTGGACCGACATCTTCCGCTGTTTCATTGGAAATGCCATGTTTGGCGTGCGGCAAAAGACGTGTAGCGTGTCGGCCAGCTTAGACACCGACTGTGTGAGCTGGACGCCGGTTGCACCTTTGAACACACCAACAGAGTTACTCATGACTTCGTGCAGTTGGGGGGTCTGCAGAAGCAATTACTGACCTTGTCCAATGATCGCGACACTCTTCCCGCGAAAGTCGAATGCGTCTTCCTCGGGAAATCCAGCAGAGTGCAACAGAGTACCTTTGTAATCCTCAATGCCAGGATATTTTGGCAAGTACTTTCGATAACTCGAGCCCGCCGCAGCAACGAGATACTTGCATCGAATGTGGAGCCCAGATTCGGTAGTGACGGTCCACCTGAGGTCTTTGTTGTCCCAGGTACAATCGACGACGTTCTGCTGAAGTCTGATGTGCTCATTTAACTCGAGAGCAGAGGCGGCGTGGTTGAAGTACCGACGAAGCTCATCGTGGGCCGGGAATCTCTCGCTCCATGACCAGTCCTTCCACACTTGATGAAGACTGTATTGATAGTACGGCACCTCAGAGTCTACGCGGGCACCCGGATACCCTGGTACAGAGTAAGCGTTTCTGAACAAAGTAATTTTGAGGTTGAAGACTCAGCACGATTCCAGTGCCACACGCCTCCTAAGCCATCGGCGGCATCAATGGCAACTGCATTCAGCCCCTTTTCGCGTAACTTGTAGAGAGTGTACAAGCCACCAAATCCACAGCCAATGACAAGAGCGTCTAGATCCAGGTCAGCGGTGCCGTTGACGCCGTTGGTGGCGCCGTTGGTGATTCCATTAGAGTGTGCCATGCTTTGGCTGTATTCAACGCAATGGAAGAAATCGACCACTCCGGTACAACGAGATTGCCGGAGCTCTTAGAAACGCTGACAGAGTGTGATGGCATCCAACATTTTGACCTAGCAGGCCGTAAAAGACATATGTGCCTCACAGAACATATGTCGAGGGATGTCACCGGCGGCCAGGGTACCCCACGCACTGTCAAAGACACGGTCATCCGGGTAAGTATTGGTGGACAGATCTGCGGATCATGCCATTGGTGCCAATTCGAGGGACGGTTACGGCTAAGGATCTATACAATGCCAACCGACACCATTGTACTCGGGTACCCCGACCGTCGAGCCGGGTTTGCGTTGGGACTTACAAGGTCAGTGAAAGTCGAATGGCATGTAGCGGTACCATCTCTTCTCAGGCTCACTAGAAATGGCAGCTTGCTCGGGGGGGTGGCTACCCTAATCTGACCTGGACGGCAAATAGGAAGCTGATCGCCGCACTCTGTATATGTGAGCCAAATCGTCACCCCGGGACCGAGTTCAGATACAGCGTGTTTAAACCCTCCCATATGACCTTGCTCTGCTTCTTTTGCGGCACCAGGGAGATTTCCAAGATGCAGCCCCTTCGTTCCGCGAACCCGACTATACTCGGTTAATCGTTTACCGGGGAACCGAGTCCCAATGGTTTGTAGTTGTGGCGTGGAAGGGTGGAAATTGTCCGTAACATGACACTACCGTATACAACCGACGATGGTTACCATCAAAAGACCCATCAGGAGCTGGCAGTATGGGGTGGGCAGTGGGCAGTACAAGGCATCCAACAGGCGGAAAACGACAGAGTGAAGAAAAGAAGTTTGGAAGAAAACAAAAGGCCACAGAACCTGCCTACACTTGCTCACACCACCACCCGCAACGACCGTCACGTCGGAAAACAAGACAAAATGACCGGTCATCGGGGTCCCCTGGACACGTTGAGCGTGTACAAGGACATTTCCAGTCGTCTCATGAACACCAACGCGCCGCTGGACCTCGAAGGGCAGCGCCAGCAGGTCGGGAGGCTCGGTGACTTGGCCACTGAGCCTACGGAGGTGACCTACGAGGAGGAGAAGGTGCCCGGCAGCAACCTGCCCGCTATCTGGGTCAAGCCCGTGCACGCGAACCCGTCGCAGGTGATCCTCTACTTCCACGGCGGCGGGGGGTTCGCGGGCTCGCCGTCGAGTCACCGCAAGCTGGTCGGCCACCTGGCCAAGCGGGCCGGCTGCTACGGCCTCGTCACGGATTACGCCCTAGTGCCCGAGTGTCCGCTGCCCGCGAACCGGCTAGACGGGTTGGCGACGTGGAACTGGCTGACGGGTGAAAAGGGGTTTGCGCCCAACCAAATCGCGCTGGGAGGCGACTCCGCCGGCGGTAACGTCGCCACCGGGGTGGCTCTGGCGTTGAAGGAGCAGCACCAACCGCTGCCGGCCGCGGTCGTGGCCTTTTCCCCCTGGATCGACATGGAGAATCTCGGCGAGTCGCTCAAGAGCAACGCCGACATGGACTTCCTCAGCCCGCCTGGCATGGCCGACATGGCGGTCGCGATGTACCTGGGTGGGACGACATCGCCAAAGGACCCCTTTGCGAACCCTCTGTACGCTGACTTCACCGGCATGCCGCCCATGAACATCTCAGCTGGGGGTGCCGAGACGTTGAGGGACGACGCGGTCCGGCTGGCGGAGCATGTGAAGAAGGCCGGTGTAGAGACCGAGCTGGAGATTGTCCCCAACGGACAGCACGTCTATCACTTTGCGGTTGGCAGGGAGCCTGAGGCGACGCGGACGGTCGAAAAGGTCGGTGACTGGCTTCATGCGAAGCTGAATTAGACAGTCCATCTGGAGATAGCGACAGTTGGTCTATATCGAGTCTCGCATAGATCTAAGCTTATAGATACCGTCAGTTTAGTTCCGATGTACTTGCTCACTATATCCCTTTTACGTGACCAACTTCCAAGCAAAGACGTGTGTGTATAGATCTATCTTTTGCGACCCTCGTAAATTGACATCTAGCAATCTAATATCCACAAAGAGGGTTGACTCTTGTTCCCTGACTACAACTCTCATCTTCACAATCGCGCGGTCGACGACTGCTTCGTCGGGCACAGCATCTCGTCGACGTCGAAAGTTTTCTGCACATCAACCCCGTCCACCAGGCCCAAGTACCACGACTTGTCACTGTCGTCGAGATCGCGGAGCGAGTAGCCGTTGCCGAGCCAGGCCCACATGTTTCGTGACCAGTAGTTGATGTCGAAGTCTTCGTAGCGCGGCGAGGACATGAGCTCGAGGCTGAGGGTCTGTTAGTAACATATACCTGCACAGAATGAATGGGGGAGAACAGGGAGAACCCTGAGGAGCCGATGTTCAAGCAGGCAAGGAAAGATAAAAGGTCGAGGACAAAGGCGACGGAGAATGTCGGGGGCCTCACTATTGAGCACGACTTCCCGGATGCAGCATCACGCGGCCATCAATCTGATTGCCTTTGAACCAACTGCGGCAGTGTCCACTGTAGACCATCCGCTTGTTGAAGAGATCGGCATGCTCGGCATAGTCGTCAATGCAGCGCTGCTTCGGTGTGAGGTCGCGGATGTCATCCGTCTGCATCTTCTTGATCACCGAGATGATATAGGTGGTAAACGCCTCGATCATCGGCATGGCACTTCCCTGGCCGAGGGGTCCGTAGGGTCCATAGAATGTGAGGTAGTTTGGCATCTGAGGGGCTGCAACTCCAAGGTAGCTCACAGGCGTCTTGCGGTAGATATCTTGTAGGTTGATACCATTGGCAATGATGGGAAACCGTGGGACCCACGAGGTATTGAACCCGGTTGCGAGAATGATGACGTCGACCTTGTGTTCGTTGCCCTCAGGATCTATGAAGCCGTCGGGCGTCACCTGCGTCAAGCCGCCGTGTTTGAATGTGGTCACGTTCGGTTGCAGTAGCGCTTCGAGGTATCCAGTTCCAGGCCTGTACGGTGTTAGCGATCAGGGAGTGTTGACCAGGGTAGAACCATACGTAGGACGTCGACATCCCAGGGGGAACTCCTTGGGAATGAGGGAATCCACAAGATCTTCTCTATCTTGCAATCTCTTCCTCATTTCGCGTGCCGCATACTATGGCAATCCGTCAGTTCTGGCCGGTTTCAAGCTCCAAAGTGCAATGGGTGGCCTACTCGCATTCCCCCATTCGACTGAGGCGTGTTCAGATGAAAAGCCAAAAAGTCGCCGTTCATCTCCAGCTCGACGGCCTTGCGATACTTTAGATAGTACTCTGGATCGTCTCGCAGTAGCTGCTTTTGCTTCTCGGTATCTAACTCAATGTATCAGCAGCGCACGTCCTCTTTTCAAGACTGCTCCTGAACACAAACATGCAAAGTTCCCGCCATTTGGCCCAGCGTACTTTTGGGCAAATCCTGGAGTGATCCACGTAGGGGAGCGGATCCACGTGTATAGGTGTGATGCTTCTTGGTGTATATTGGCAACGAGCTGGATGCCGCTAGAACCGTTACCGACGACTGCCACTCGCTTGCCTCTAAGTGAAAGGTCCTCGGGATAGCCAGCAGAGTGTGCAACAACTCCTCGGAAGGTATCGAGGCCACTAATGTTGGGCCAGTTCCAGTCACTAGCCGTGTTGGTCAATACCTAATCGGAACTGTGGATTGGACGCACTGACTTCAGAAATCCCATGGCATTCACAAAGACATCACAGCTATCCTCAATTTTCTTGTTCGTCGTGAGATCAGTTATCTGCACTTTCCACTTCGCCTCCGAGGCGATCCACTGCGCATGATCGACCCGGTGCTGTAGTCTGATGGCGTTGTACAATTGATATTTATCGGCCACGCCCTTGAAGTAGCGAAAAATCTCTGGAGCTTCAGAATAGAACTTGGACCATATCGCTGGCTCCCAGCTATACTGATATGTCACACTGGGAATATCACACGCGCAGCCTCTAAAGATTGAACATGTTAGCCTTTTTCCAGCGAGTCGAGCCTTGAGCAGATCAAATGGCCATGGAGAAGGATGGCGAGCGAGGGATCGCACACACGCTCTCCCCCAGAGGGGTATCCACTGAGAAGATGGACTTACGGATATCTGTTTTCCAGCCATGTCCCTGCCACTTCAGCGTTCTTTTCATATATTATCAGGTCGACATTCTTGAGATCCCGCGCAGACTTGGCTAGGCTAATACCTGAAGCACCCGCACCGACGCAGATCACCTTCATGGGCCTAATTGGACCTGAAGGTCTTTCGTTGATGGTATACCCTCGGTCATTGGTGGTTGGCCACCCGTACCGCGCGGGACGTTCATGCATAGGCACTTGCTCTCTGTTGGCCTTTTTGACCTGCTTTTCTCCCTAGAAGACACGATGACCGTATCAGCACATCTGACACAATCAACAAGCAGGTGGTTCCCTGACCGACCTCCATTTTTAGTTGATACTTCCAATCTCGAAAGCTGTGTACCAAAAGAAAATGTTTGAACAAACCTGGGGCCCAAGTTGCTAAACATGATGGCGACCTAAGCTACACGACTGTCATAGTCTCTATACACCACAGCGGATAGTCTCACTCTACCGGAGCCTCATCGGTTAATGCCTCCCGAGCAATCTCGGCATAGTGTTTTCCGCCCGGGGAGAAGGAAAATGGGGGAGCACCATCGATAATCTCTTTGACCATGGCGGACAAGTATCAGGGTCGCAGGTAGGGTACATCTTCTTGATCATTACTAGAACACGACCAGACACTCGCTGGGAAGGCCACTGTAAGTGCAGGAGGCCGACAGTTCTGCCGTCGATTCACATGGACAGTAGATACGGGGCAAGGATGTCCGAAAAGACGCGTATTTTATTGGTTGAGTAGCGGTGGCATATCCGATTGGCCGATTGACAACCTGGTCACGTGATTTACACTTGATCTGCTTCCCCATAATGTTACCAGCCCCCCCGGACCTTCTAACGCTTTAGCCTACCAGGTACCTCGTACAAA